AATATGGCAAGTCGTCTAGGTCCTGAAGCTGCAAAGCAGCCCTAGACCATCACATTACCACTACCATGTTTGACTGTTGGCATGATGTTCATTTTATGAAATGTTGTTAGTTTTATGCCAGATGTAACGGGATGTACACCTTCCAAAAATTTCAACATTTGTCTCATCAGTCCACAGTCCTTTTACCCAAAAGTCTTGGGGATAGTCAAGATTTTTTTTGGCAAATGTGAGACAAGTCTTTATGTTCTTTTTGGTCAGCAGTGGCTTTCGCCTTGGAACTCTCCCATGGATGCCATTTTTGCCTAGTCTCTTTCTTATTGTTGAATCATAAACACTGACCTTACGTGAGCCCTGCAGTTCTTTAGATGATGTTCTGGGTTTTTTTTATGACCTCCTGGATGAGTGTTCATTGTGCTATTGGAGTAATTTTGTTAGGCTAGGAAGGTTCACCACTGTTCCAGGTTTCTCCATTTGTGGATAATGTCTCTCTCTGTGGTGTGCTGGAGTCCCAAAGTCTTAGAAATGGCTTTGTAACCCTTTCCAGACTGATAAAAGTGAATTACTTTGTTTCTCATCAGTTCTTAAATTTCTTTAGATCGTGGCAGGACATATTGCTTTTTGAGATGTTTTAGCATGCTCCACCGCCTAGGTTTGGCAAGTGAAATTTAACTCAGCTTTCCAAAAAATGTGTGTAATCACAGTTCATTCATGATTTAGCAAGGAAAGGGTTCAGACACCCAACATCTCTGAAATATGCAGGTGATGGGGGGTGGGGATATAGGGCAGGTGGCTATCTAGGCAACTGGTTCCTTTACTAGATTGTAAGCTCCAAGGAGCAGGGCCCTCAAATCCCTCTTGTATTGAATTGTATTGTCTCCCGTTATATTGTAAAGCGCTGAGCAAACTGTTGGCGCTATATAAATCCTGTATAATAATAATTGACTAGGGTGTGGGCAAACTTTTCCATCTGCATTGCTGTCTCTTTAGCATGTTCTTTATCCAAGCACTGTGGGAGGGGTCCAGAGCAATCTTAAAGCAAATGTTCGGTTTGTTCCTCAGCCTTCCTCTACGTCAATTGCACTGGAGTGTTTGATTCACTCACTAGGTGTAGGCACGAGGATGCTAATTGAAGATTGAAGATGAGGATACCCGGCAGAAGCTCAGAGAAACACAATCACTCAATCAGTGCCCAGGTTATGCCCCCTTACCTTGTTTTTAAAGAGGATCTTCACCCTACCTGGCTAAAACTAAATTCTAACAATTGTCTTTTTCTGAAAATAAAACACTCTTACTAGTCAGTGGAGGCGAGCTTTGTCTTTGTCTCTGAAGTTCTCTTTGTGTCACTCTCCTTCTACCCCACCATTTTAAAAAATGAGTTATTACCTGTTAACTTGATTTCCAGGAATCTTCCAGGGCGACTCTATGAGAGAGAGCACAGGAAACACAAATCCACATCAATATAAAGCTTGCACTACCCCTGGGGTTCCTCAGTAATAATCAAGCAATAACCAAACGCCATTTTTATACCCAATCTAAATTACTTCCCTTTCTTAAAACCTAGGGTGGGAAGCATCGGTGTCCTGGAAGATTCCTGCAAGTTAACAGGTAATAACTCGGTTTTCCCTAATCATCATCCAGAATGGCTTTGTCAGGGCTCCCGGGTGTGACCAGAGGTGTGTGACTGACGCAGGGGAACGCAGACTTCAGATATGTTATAAACAATGTAATTTATTAACACTAACAATACAAACATAAACGCAGTGCAATACTAAAACATAACACAGTGCAAACAAACCAAACCACCCACAGATAACAGTACATACAATGCAAGTGTCGTCAGGCAGGCCGGGTCAATATCAATCGGGCAGGAAGGTACAGGGGGAGCAAGCGGAGAATGGTCGGGTCACAAGCCAGGTTCAGCAGGTAGCGGGCAGCGTGGTACAGAGGGTCAGGCAGAGGAGAATAATCAGACAAGCCAGGGATCAGGAGCAGGAGAATGGTCAGACAAGCCAGGGATCAGAGCAGGGTCAGCAGAGAATCAGACAGGAACAGGAACAGGGCCCAGGAGAAACACAACACCAAGGCAGAGTCTGCAGGTCTGAATGTCCCTTAAATACACCAGTATAATTAGTTCCAGGTGTTTGACTGGCTGCAAGGTTGAGTCTCTGATTGCTGGGAGCACCCGCTGGCCAGCCCTGGTACTGCAGCTCATAAGGCAGGTGAGTCCCACTATTGCTGGCCAGTCCATTCCTGACAGTACCCCCCCCTCAAGGAGCGGCCTCAGGACGCTCCAAACAGTCCTAGCTGGGCAAAATGTTCCACCGCCCGGGTCTGGTAACTGGCGGGATATCAAAGACTGGCACACCAGGCGGGACTCTCCGGCAGCGGCACACCGGGCAGAGGCCCATCGGGCTGGACTCCGGGCAGAGGCCCATCGGGCTGGACTCCGGCAGCAGAGGCCCATCGGGCTGGACTCCGGGCAGAGGCCCATCGGGCTGGACTCCGGGCAGAGGCCCATCGGGCTGGACTCCGGGCAGAGGCCCATCGGGCTGGACTCCGGGCAGAGGCCCATCGGGCTGGACTCCGGGCAGAGGCCCATCGGGCTGGACTCCGGGCAGAGGCACTCGGGCTGAACTCCGGGCAGAGGCCCATCGGGCAGAGGCACTCCGGGCAGAGGCACATCGGGCTGGACTCCGGGCAGAGGCACATCGGGCTGGACCCGGGCAGAGGCACATCGGGAGGACTCCAGAGGTCGGGCTGACTCCGGGCAGCAGGCATCGGGCCCCCAGGCTCCGGGCGACAGGCATCGGGCCCCCAGCGGCACACGGGCGAGGCCCTCCGGGGCAGAGGCACATCGGGCATGGGCCCCCCGGCGGAGGCACATCGGGCATGGGCCCCCACTGGGGCAGAGGCAGGGCTGGACCCCGGCAGAGGCACATCGGGGCGCTCCGGGGGCCCCGGGCGAGGGGCGACAGGCATCGGGCCCCCGGGGGGCGGCAGGCATCGGGCTGGACTCCGGGCAGAGGCACATCGGGCCCCCAGACTCGGGGCGACAGGCATCGGGCCCCCAGGCGGAGCGGCAGGGCACATCGGGCCCCCCGGCAGCGGCACAGGGCGCTCGGGCCCCGGGCAGAGGCACGGCGGGCGCCGGACCCCCAGGCGGAGGCGGGCCCCCACAGGTCTCGGGCCCCCAGGCGGAGCGGCGGGCGCCGGGCCCCCCAGGCGGAGCGACAGGGTCATCGGGCCCCCAGGCGGCGGAGCGACAGGCATCGGGCCCCCAGGCGGGGCGACAGGTCTCGGGCCCCCAGGCGGAGCGACAGGCATCGGGCCCCCAGGCGGAGCGACAGGCATCGGGCCCCCAGGCGGAGCGACAGGCATCGGGCCCCCAGGCGGGCGGAGCGACAGGTCTCGGGCCCCCAGGCGGGGCGACGGGCATCTCGGCCCCCAGGCGGGGCGACAGGCATCGGGCCCCCAGGCAGGCGGCGGCGACAGGCACCGGGCCCCCAGGGGAGGCTCGGTCGAGGCGTCGGGCCCCCAGGCGGGGCGACAGGTCACGGGCCCCAGTGGGGCTCCGAGTCAACTGGCAAGACTGCGGGCACCGAGAGGGTCGGCAGGACATCGGCCCCGAGTCGGGGCAAGGCTGCGGGCACCCAGGAGTCGTCTGGCAAGACTGCGGGCAGGCGAGTCGTCTGGCAAGACTGCGGGCACCAGAGTCGACTGGCAAGACTGCGGGCACCGAGTCGTCGGTCTGGCGGGGCGACAGCGGGCATCGAGGCACTGGCGTCGGGCGGGCAGGCGAGTCAACTGGCGAACAGGGGCACCGAGTCGTCTGGCAAGACAGGCGGGCACAGGCATCTGGCAAGGGCTGCGGGGGGCCGAGGCATCCTGGCGGAACAGCGGGGAGCGGAGGGTCTGGGCAAGACTGCGGGCACCGAGTCGTTTGGCAAGGGACTGCGGGCGGCACCGAGTCACCTGGCGGGCGGAGCGGGCATCGAGTCGGTCTGGCAAGACTGCGGGCACCGAGTCGTCTGGCAAGACCCCGGGCACCGAGTCGACTGGCAAGACTGCGGGCACCCCAGTCGTCTGGCAAGACTGCGGGGCACCCAGTCGTCTGGCAAGACTGCGGGCACCGAGTCGTCTGGCAAGACTGGTCTCGGGGCACCGAGTCGTCTGGCGGAACAGCGGGCATCGAGTCAACTGGCGGAACAGCGGGCACCGAGTCGTCTGGCAAGACACGACAGAGTCGAGTCAACTGGCAAGACTGCGGGCACCGAGTCGTCTGGCAGACTGCGGGCACCGAGTCGTCTGGCAAGACTGCGGGCACCGAGTCGTCTGGCAAGACTGCGGGCACCGAGTCGTCTGGCAAGACTGCGGGCACCGAGTCGTCTGGCAAGACTGCGGGCACCGAGTCGTCTGGCAAGACTGCGGGCACCGAGTCGTCTGGCAAGACTGCGGGCACCGAGTCGTCTGGCAAGACTGCGGGCACCGAGTCAACTGGCGGGCAACACTGCGGGCACCGAGTCGTCTGGCAAGACTGCGGGCACCGAGTCGTCTGGCAAGACTGCGGGCACCGAGTCGTCTGGCAAGACTGCGGGCACGAGTCGTCTGGCAAGACAGCGGGCACCGAGTCGTCTGGCAAGACTGCGGGCACCGAGTCGTCTGGCAAGACTGCGGGCACCGAGTCGTCTGGCAAGACTGAGCGGGCACCGAGTCGTCTGGCAAGACTGCGGGCACCGAGTCGTCTGGCAAGACTGCGGGCACCGAGTCGTCTGGCAAGACTGCGGGCACCGAGTCGTCTGGCAAGACTGCGGGCACCGAGTCGTCTGGCAAGACTGCGGGCACCGAGTCGTCTGGCAAGACTGCGGGCACCGAGTCGTCTGGCAAGACTGCGGGCACCGAGTCGTCTGGCAAGACTGCGGGCACCGAGTCGTCTGGCAAAACTGCGGGCACCGAGTCGTTGGCAAGACTGCGCGGGCACCGAGTCGTCTAGCAAGACTGTGGGCACCGAATCACCAGGCACGACAGTGGGCTCTGACTCAATTGGCACGACAGCGGGCACCGGGTCATCAGGTACCGGATTGTCTGGCTCGACAGCGGGCATCGGGTCACCAGGTATGACAGCGGGCACTGGGTCACCAGGCATCAGGTCATTTGGCTCGCCAGCGGGCACCGCGTCATCTGGCAAGGCAGTGGGCACCGAGTCACCAGGTACGACAGCGGGCTCTGAGTCAATTGGCACGACAGCGGGCACCGGATCAGGTACCGGATCATCTGGATCAACAGCGGGCATCGAGTCAACTGGCCTAATAGGATCGTCAGGCTGGATCAGTTCATCATGCTGGGTAGAGGCATCAGGCTGAATGCAGGCGTCCGGCTGAGTAGAGGCTTCAGGCTGAGTAGAGGCTTCAGGCCGAGTAGAGGCATCAGGCCGAGGAGGCTTCAGGAGTAGAGGCTTCAGGCCGAGTAGAGGCATCAGGCCGAGTAGAGGCATCAGGCCGAGTAGAGGCATCAGGCTGCGTAGTAGAGGCATCAGGCTGAGTAGAGGCATTCAGGCTGAGTAGAGGCTTCAGGCTGAGTAGAGGAGTAGAGGCTTCAGGCTGAGTAGAGGCTTCAGGCTGAACTACGGAAGGCAGGTTCACCGGTTTGGATACTGGCAGGATGGTATTGGTTGGAAAGAATTTTCGCTTTTTTTTCTGGTTTTAACTACTGGAGCACTGCAAGTAAACGCAGGTCTGCAAATGAATGGAGCAGCTGGAGACAGAGAAGAACTGGAGGATGGAACAGGAGAGGGAGCAGTTGCTACAGAGGGCTTTTTTACAGGGTTAAAGGCAGGATAGGTGCAGCGAGTGGGAACAGGGTACTGACATGCGGTAGATAGCAAGGGCACGAGGAGCTGCTGGGAATGCAGGAATAGAGTTTTGAGGAAATAGATTAGAAGCAGGACTGGGTTTTTGTAAGCTGACTGAGGCTGGGTGCAACAAATCTGTCCATGTCTGCAGTATGGGTTGAACAAAGCTGAGCTTACACAAAGCCTGTCTGACCAAAGACTGCACTGCGTTTATACAATCTCTTAGTACCTGTGGTGAACATGTGGAATAACGCTCCAGAAAGTAACCCACATCATCCTCTAATAACCACACCAGGGACTCCACCTGGTCTGCACTAAATGGTGGAAAAAATTCATCCCTGCATTCGGGGGGGGAGTACCAGATGAAACCAACTCAGCACAAACCTCAATCAATGGCTGCACCTCAGAGAACTCTGTGCCCTGATCTACTAGAACATGAGCGAGCCGTATACATTCTAGCAGTTCATCCCGGGTATACTCCTTCAGAGTTTGATAAGCATACTCCCTGTCATCAAACACTAGCAGATATAAATACGCAACCTCATCCAGATCCATCCTTCCCATCAACAAACCAAGATGGCTTCCCTGTGCAGCCACTTCTGGTCAGGATTGGCCTTGGTGTAATGTCAGGGCTCCCGGGTGTGACCAGAGGTGTGTGACTGACGCAGGGGAACGCAGACTTCAGATATGTTATAAACAATGTAATTTATTAACACTAACAATACAAACATAAACGCAGTGCAATACTAAAACATAACACAGTGCAAACAAACCAAACCAAACCACCCACAGATAACAGTACATACAATGCAAGCGTCGTCAGGCAGGCCGGGTCAATATCAATCGGGCAGGTAGGTACAGGGGTCACAAGCCAGGTTCAGCAGGTAGCGGGCAGCGTGGTACAGAGAGTCAGGCAGAAGAGAATGGTCAGACAAGCCAGGGATCAGGAGCAGGAGAATGGTCAGACAAGCCAGGGATCAGAGCAGGGTCAGCAGACCCCCCCCCCCCCCCCCCCCCCCCCCCCCCCCCCTGGAGACAGGGATATCAGACAGGAACAGGAAACAGGGCCCAGGAGAAACCCAACACCAAGGCAGAGTCTGCAGGTCTGAATGTCCCTTAAATACACCAGTATAATTAGTTCCAGGTGTTTGACTGGCTGCAAGGTTGAGTCTCTGATTGCTGGGAGCACCCGCTGGCCAGCCCTGGTACTGCAGCTCATAAGGCAGGTGAGTCCCACTATTGCTGGCCAGTCCATTCCTGACAGGCTTTATGAGAGTGACATCATAGAAACCATACCGACTAGGGAGGGACCAGTGCCTGAAAAACCTCTCTCCCAAATTCCTGGTCGCAGAAAGACAGAAGATCCAGGCGGTAATGTATCACGTAGGGCTGGAAACTTGACCAGGTGGCTGCTTTGCAAATTTGGACTGAGGTAGTCCCAGCCCTTTCCACCCATGAGGTAGTCAGAGCTCTATTAAAGTGGGCTTTCAGGTTTGGAGGGGCTAGCAGCCCTACTGTTGAATAGGCTTCCTTGATGGTTGATATCATCCATATAAAGATAGTGGTCTTAGAGGCACCTGATCCTTTCCTAGGCCCCGAGTACAGGGCAAAAAGGTTGGGTACTGTTCTCCAATCTTTGGTCCATTCAATATAGCACAATAGGCACATTCTTACATCTAGTATATGGAAATCCTCTTTTGGATTATTTGTATGTGTGCAAACAGAAGGGATCACAATCTCCTGTGACCGGTGGAAGTGTGAGGAAACTTTAGAAAGAAAACCTGGATCCAGAGACAAAATGACCTTATCTGGAAAAATAGAGCAGTAAGGCTCTGCTACTGGCATAGCTTGCAGCTCACTTATTTTCCTGGCTGAAACCAAGGCAATAAGCAGCACGGTTTTATAGGTTAGTATCTTCAACGAGCTTTCCTTCAATGGCTCAAAGAGTTGTTTCATGAAGCTCCTTAGTACGTGTGATAGACCGCTTGTCACGCCGATTGGGTTATCCCATCAGAGAATTGCTTCCTTGCCGCCTAGACACAGGACCAAGGTATTATAGCTGGGCATCACAGCCAAGACTAGGTGACACTAGCTTAGGTGCAAAACAAACTCTTTATTGAACAGAAATACAGGTTTTTATATACTTCAGAAATAGAGGCAGTCCCCATATGAACAATAAAACCAAATAGTATACATCGGGATAAACATCCCACACTGATTAGATAACGAGGTCAAGTTGATACAAAACGAATCCCATCATTTAGTTACCTCTAAAAGGACCAAACAATTGGTGATTCAATTAAGTCAATTACCAATGGAACAAATACACAACGGTAAACACATCACACCTTGATGAACAGATTATAACAAGAGACTTCAGTATCAGGTTGTTTTGAGACGATTATATTAACATCTGCTTAGAGTCTCTAAATCTAGGAAAGAAGGGGGTTCCAGTTCCATGTGCCCCTTCTATTCCCCACAGGGATGGCACCACCAAGATGGGCGTCGGGGCACTTCCTGTGTCACTTTTGCTGGAAGTGCATTATCGCACGACCGGAAGTTACGTCAGCCTGGCGTTCCACACACCCAGGAAGCTGAGCCGAGCCTAGACGCCATAACACACCACAGGAACACATTGATGAACTCCAGGTATGTGCACTGCACTCACCACAGGGACTAAGGTCTGCCTCCTCCTGTGGCCACCTTTATGGATATAATTCGAAAGGAGAGAGAGGGTCCCCTAGCCTCTCCCAAGCTCTATGCTTGCCAGAGCCCGAGCTCTATATCCTCCCCCCCCCCCCCCCCCCCCCAGAACTTCCCCAGTAGAGGGAGATCCATGCCATCTAGCATGCAGGCCTGTCAGAAAAATAAAAAAGTTGTTTTCTGAAGCTTGTGGTGATTCTGGTCGCAGGAAGCACAAATACTGAGGAAACCCAGGAGTAGTGCAGGCTTTTATACTGATGTGGATTTGTGTTTCCTGTGCTAGGTGGGAGGAACCTGTCTCTCATAAAGCCATTCTGGAAGATGATTTGGGAAACTCCTGTTCGCGCATGTGCAGACATGCTGCAGATCTTTGAATCCTGGCACAGACCAGCCACATGTCTGTGCATGCGCAAACTCCCTGTGTTTCTGCAGACATACCACAGGTCTAATGGACTTTGTGACACTTTGTCCCTGAGTGACACACTAAAATGTGGACATCCCAGGAGGCAGCAGGAGTTGACTGCTATGTTATCTTCATCTAGGTGAGGTAAAAAAAGTATTTACACTGCCTAACATTAAAGTTGAATTCCAGGTATGGATATTTTACATAGTTATGTAGTGTTTACCCCCAAAAGAGCAAATGATGTTTGAGTTATTAGATTTCGAATGTCAACAACCTTCTCGGCAATGCCACACCAATGCTGAAAAAAAGAATATTTATTTGTGCAACACACACAGCAAATGAATAAACATAATGGGAATAACAGTGAACAAGTGTAGAATAACAGATACCAATAATGTAGAACGCTATAAATAACTGTAGGACCAAATGTCTCTGCCCCTGATCCCCAAATCCAGAGAACTAATGGTCCATTAGTCTCTCCAAACGTCTCTCACTGGCTAGTGTGTTGGTGATCATTGGGCCCAAAGTTCAGGCATTGGAGCTCTCAAACTTAAGAGGATCCCACAATGCCAAGCGTAAGTGCCAAAATTGTATCCTGAAATAGGTGACACTGTCCCTTTAAGCAGTGGGCAGAAAGTCATGGCCAGCAGCCTCTCATTACCAACTGATCTGTAATTTTGCTCCTCGCACTCTCCGTCTAGACATCAGCTGCAACTCAGGATTCAGAGATGACGATCTCCCACAGAACTGGTGACGTCAGCAGCGCCACAGCACTCAGAGATGATGGTCTTTTTCTGAACTGGTGATATCAGCAGGACAATTCCTCTGTGTTTCCAACACCGTATTGAACCTTCCAGCAGGCAGCTTTCTGACACAGAAGCCCACTTTAAATGTTCACCTTTCACTGTCCTCCACACAACTACCTTGAGCCCAGGAACTCTCTCCTCTTTTCCTTCTCTCAGCTCTCTGTCCTGCTGCGACCATTGGTCCATGGCTTGATAGAAAACAGTTTCTGGGACTATATGTCCCATAGTATTGGGCAATTTCCTGCAGTCCTCTTCCTCCCAGGCTGCACAGCAATCAATGTCCTCTGGTCTCCTAGGGAGGTGAGCAGGTTCTTATCTGGCTCACAGCAGCCGTAACACAGCTTTATGAGTATCCTGCATCCACAGGCAATTAAAGCACTAGGAACACATAACTTGCTGTAAAATGTCTACCCAGAAAGCAATCAGGCGTGGGATGACCTTTCTGAGACCTCTGCCCAAGTCACAACTTAACAAAACCAACACTCAATTCATGAAATCCAACAGGACCAAGACACATTATTATTAAGTATATATTTGAATGGGCAATATCATACCAAACAAATCAAGGTCATACATGACTAAGCTAAGCACACTATA